CTGACTGAAATTTTGAAGTCCAGGAAAAGTTGGAGAAAAAGGTTTGGGAACACTTAGCAACATGATCTGGGAAAACTGTATAAAGTGGGGAAAGATCAGAGAGAAGAAATGTTGGGAACTTTTAGAGCCGGGCAGAGGATACCTTTGGAGGTACCATTATCATTTGTGATTGTTAATCTTGATTGCCAGCTTGACAAGATGTAGACTCACCTAAGAGACAAACTTCTGGGCATGTCTGCCGGGGAGTTTCTAGCCTGGCTTAATTGGGTAGAAAGCTGTACCCTAAACGTAAGATCCAAATAAAAAAAAAAAACAAGGAGGCAGATGGGTGCCAGTGTTCCTTGCTTTCTGCTTCCTGAGTGTGGATGCACTGTGACAACCACCTCACATGCCTGCTGCTCCATCTTCCCTGTGAGAAGGGACTATTACCCTCAAACTCTGAGCCAAACTAAGTGCTTCCTTTCATCAGGTAGAAAAATAACAAATACAGAAAGTTGGGACCAAGAAGTGGGGGCCATTGCTGTCATCAGCCTGACCATGTGACTTGTAGGCTTTTGGAGCTGGTTTTTTGGAGGAATATGGAAGCCGCTGCAGCTGTGAACTCCAGAATGAGAATGAGATGCTGTAAATAGAATTTAACAGGCCATTCTGGTGAGAGTTTAGAAGGCCAGAATGCTGAAAGAACTCTTGAGGTCTCATAGAGGAGCAAGGATTCTATCAGCCCCAAGGTTCCAGCAAAGAGTCTAGCTTCATTCTGCCAATGCCTTGAGAACTTGGAAGAGGCTGAACTGAGAAGTAACAAAACTAATTTGTCTGATGGGAAACTTCTCAAGACAAGACCATGTATTCAGGCTACTCCCTGCTTTTGTTCAGATCTACAGTGAGAAAGAGCAGAAGGAAGAAAAATGTAAACTTTGCAAGGAAACTTGTGTACAAGTTTAAAGTTACCAACAAGGAGTAGGAGAAAGCAGCAATAACTGCTAAAGAGTTCTGCACCATTAAAAACAAATTTACCACGTGTGGTACTACGTACCTTTAATCTCAGGACTCCCAAAACAGAGGTAGGCAGATCGCTGGGAATCCCATGGCCATCTAGGGCTGCAAAATGAGACCCTGTTTCAAAAAAAAAGAAATAAACAACAAAATAATATCCTGCACTATGTTGGGACAATTAGAAAAGTTCTCTAAGGGCAAGACCCCACCCACTGAAGGCTGTAACTTGTGGAAATGCACCAAAAACAGAGAGCCTGACCAGAGAATGCCACTGAAGAAATTTCTTACTAAAAACAGTTTGCCTAGGAAAGTGTCACACACAAAGCTCAATGATTTTTTTTTTTTTAAAGAGGGAGCCAGGCTGCTTCTCAAGCTGGCAACAGAACTTGGAAGCTTTATAAAATACTGAATTAACAGTCATGAACGAGCCAGGCATTGGTGGCACACGCCTTTAATCCCAGCACTCAGGAAGCAGAGGCAGGCCGATCTCTGTGAGTTCGAGACCAGCCTGGTCTACAAGAGCTAGTTCCAGGACAGCCTCCAAAGCCACGGAGAAACCCTGTCTAGAAGGAAAAAAAAAGTCATGAACGAGCAAGAATGAGGGAGGAAGTTCATGGAGGCTTGTACCAAGGTCCCTAAAAACCAGACATGCCAGGCAGTGTGTAGAAGGGTCTGAATCTCTGCAAGGAGGCCTGGAGATGCCATTGCATGTAGCTGTAAAAACAAAGTGTGCTTATAGTGGAGCCCCTAGGATGTTGGAGATGCCAAGACCATAGGACATCTGCTAAGAAGTAGAGCCAGCCCAAGAGAGAGACTGTGTTTTATAGGCAGTAGAAATGGAGAGTCAGGGCTACCCAAGATTCATCAGGAGCCCAGGTTTGTTCTTTAGTCCCATCATTCCTTCCCATGCCCCCATCCTCCCAGTTGAATATTTATTCCATACAATTGTGTATTGGAGGTCTATAATTTATTTTTTACTTTAATGGAACTCAAGACAGTGCCTTGAATCTCAGAAAAGACTTGGACTTTCAAACTGTGTTGGAACTGCTAAAGATTATGGGGACTTTTGAAGCGAGACTAAATACACTTTTCATTATAATATGGCCCTGAGCCTATGGGGACAAGGAGTAAAATGTTATGACTTTGAAACAATATGTGTGTGTCAGGTTGATGGGTAGATTTGTGATAGTTAACATTGTCAGCTTGACAGGATCTAGAATCAGCCATGAGAAAAACCATTGGGGTTTTTTGTAAGGGAGTTTCTAGCTTAGGAAGACATCCCCTACATGTGGGTGGCAGTGTTCTGTGAGCTGGGGTCTTGGGCTGAATTTAAAATGAGAAAGCTAAGCACCTATATGTCTGTGTTTCTTTACTGTGGATGTACTGTGACCAGTTGCTTCACACTCCTGCCACCGTATCCTCATCTTTATGGACCGCACCCTCAAACTATGAGCTAACAGACCCTTCCTTAAGTAGCTTTTGCTAAGTATTTTGTCACAGTAACAAGAAAAAGAATTACTATACTACTACTCACAGGATAGGGTGGTTTATGAAACACAGATCTATGACCCCAGTTCTGGCACCACCATGTGCTGCTCACCAATACCTTTTCTCTGGATGAGTAGTAGAGTCTTCCTGAAGGTTCCAACTCTGCACTCATTTAGAAAATGCCAGCACAGAGATGGAAGTCTGGGGGGGGGGGTCACGAAAGTGATGAGATAGACTGAGAATGGGAAGGAAAATGCTGTGTGTCCTGGGCACATCACAGCAAGCATATCCTCGGGAAGTGACAGAACCAAAATGGGGGTGACAGCAGGAAGTTTTGTCCCCAGATTTCCTGCTTCGATAGATTCTGATACCCCGTGTGTCTAGGAAGCAGGATCCTTCGGTCTACAAGAGACCTCAACAGCCTAGAGCAGTGAAGATGAGGGTCCCTGACGTATCAGCCTTCCCTAAGCCTTTGGAATCTGCTTAAGAAAATGCCTCCCCCCCATGTCAAAATCAAAGCAATTATATGTGCTGTAGTTTGAATAATGTTCCCCCAAAGTTCATGTGTTGCAAAGCTAATATCCCAGTTTGTAAGTTGATGGCTTTGGAGCTGGAGTCTTGGGTAATAATCCCGATTAGATCAGGATTAGGACATTAAGGCAGAGCCTTAGGGATGGTAATCGCTGGCTTTGGAGGCTGAAGAGCCCTAGGTAGCCTGCTTGCTCTGTCTCACAGTGTGGTGCTCTTATCATGCTATAGCAAAAGCAGAGAGCCCTTGCCAGATAGCAGCATAGAATTTACTATATGGACAGTCTGGTTTCCAATTTACAGAGATCTGTCTGCCTCTGCCTCCCAAGGGATTAAAATTGTGCATCACCACACCCCCAAAACTGTTTTTTTTCCTAATAATTACTCAGTCTCAGATATTTGGGTATAGCAGCCAAAAATGATCTAAGATGGTTATGTTAGTTGCTCTTCTCAATACTGGGACAAAAATACCTGACAACTGTAATTTATGGAAAGAAGGGTGTATTTGGGCTCACAATCTAAGGCAATACAGTAGGGAAGGCATGGTTGTAGGACCAGGTCAGCTGTTCACATTGCACCCACAGTGATGAAGCAGGCACTAGCTGATACTCAGCTAGCTTTTTCCACTCTGCAGTCCAGGAATCCATGCCATAAGATGGTGCCATCCACACTTCCGGTGAGGCTTCTCACCTCCGATAACCTAATATAGAAGTCTGTGAGGGCAAGGGGTTTGTTTCCATGGTAATCCTTAACCTCATTAGTTTGACAGCTGAGATTACCCCTCGAAGTGGTCTGTCTTGCAAGCTTGAGTTTGTAGAGTGGCACTTGTTGTGTTGCTGTCATTTGCATTTGGCAGATGAGGAAACCAAGGCCCAGAAGCACTCAACCAAGTGGATTTAGAATGTGAAGACGGAGCCTCTGTGGCCACAGCTCTGCACTTGTTGAACAACTTCAGATGCCAACAGGACTGAGTGGTTAAGGAATAAAATATGTCAGGTGTAAGAATTCTGGTCCTCAAACATCATAGTATTTAGTTTAAGGTCCTGAAACTCATTCTTAGTTTTGGTTTGAATTGGGGAAGGGAGATGAGATGAGCCCAAAAGAGGATTGGGACACAGTAGGACAAATTAGAAAATTCAGGTTGTTGGAGGCTGGAGAGATGGCTCAGCAGTGAAGGACATTGGCTCCTCTTCCAGAGGACTGGGGTTCAATTCCCAGCATCCACATGGCTGCTCAGACCTTTCCACAACTCCAGTTTTAGGGGATCTGACACCTTCACACAGACATGCATGCAGGTAAAGCATGAATGTAAAATCAAATAAATGATAACTGGTCGGTGGTGGTGCACACATTTAATCCCAGCACTTGGGTGAATCTCTGTGAATTTGAGGCCAGCCTAGTCTACTGAGGAAATTCTAGGACAGCCTCCAAAGATACAGAGAAACCCTGTCTTGAAAGAAGAAAGCAAGAAACCAAGAAAGGAAGAAAGGAAGAAAGAAAGAAAGAAAGAAAGAAAAAAAGAAAGAAAGAAAGAAGGAAGGAAGGAAGGAAGGGAAAGAAGAAGAAAGAAAGAAAATGCAGGTCGTGTTAAAGGGCAGTCACCACAAATGTTATCACAAGAAAATGCATCCGTTTTAAAAATAAAATCTGGAAACACAATTTTTTGTTTAAAAAAAGTAGGCTGGACATATTTAATCATTTTGCTAAAAACTCAGTTACTGGGTGATGGTGGCACATGCCTTTATTACCAGCAGTTTGGAGACAGAAAGAAGCAGGTGAATTTCTGAGTTCCAGGCCAGTCTGGTCTATAGAGCAAGTTCCAGGACTCAGAGAAATCCTGTCTCAAAAACCAAACAAACAAAAAACCCCAAGCAGTTGGGTAAATGTATATCCTTTAGGTTGTGCCGCTGTTCCATCACAGCAGAGGCCTCGGGAGCCTAGGCTGGAGCCTTGAGCATGCGCAAAAGTTGCAAAATGCCAGGGTTGAACAAGCAGGAATTCTGGCAGCAGAAACCCAAGTCCTGAGCAACTGGAGGTTGATGGAAGCTGCAAATCGGGAGAGTCAGCTAAGCTCGGTTCATTTTCTCTCCTTTCTGAGTTGGCCAAAGAGGCAAAGGCCCTCTTCTAGCAGATGGACGTTCTAGATCAGAAACTGACTTCTTGTCCACAGGGAAGAAGCAGATAGAGCGAGATCTCACAGCCCTCTGAAATCTGCCTGGAAGCTGAAGATGTCTGTACTCCAGCAGCCTCCTTCAGAGGGAGGGGCCCCCAGGCAACTAACTTCCTGTGCTGCCTTTTAGAAGCTGCTCTGCCCTGTCTGACCTCAGGCTTGGCAGAGGAGAGAACTCACCCCACACAGTCTCCTCCTGGGTTCTAAGAGCCAGGTGGGGGATAAGAAGGCCATGGTTAGCCACCCAGACACTGTCCTATCAATGTCTTGGCAAGTAGCTGTCTGGAAACCCCAGAATGACTGCTTCCTCTCCTGACCGCATCCTGCAAGCTGGGGCAGGTGCCAGCAGCTACTGCCTGGAGGCTACTGAAACTATGGCTAGAACTCTTGATGTCCAGGCTGGGCTCCAGCAGGGTGGGTAGCTCCCTGAACTGCATAGGACTGACTTAGGAGGCCAAGTTAGGAGGTGGAGTGAACTGAAAACGGGCCCAGGACACTGAGTCTAAAGAGCACGGAAGACAAGACAAGTCATGGAGTCATACCCCATACTTGCATGAGACAGGCCACTCCCCCAGGACACACCAGCACTCTCTGGTCATCTGTTCTGGTTTGGTTTTTAGGGTTTTCTGAGTTCTCTCCAGGGCTCCCACCATCTTTCTTCTCGTTCATGTCCTTCATGCACCTTTTCTGTTTCCATCTTTCCCTCCCTCTCCAGGCCTTGTGGCCCTCTGAGCTTCCGGGGACTTGAGAGGCCACAGACAGGTGTCCTCGGGGCTCCGGGTGGATCATTGATCCCTGACATGCTTCCTTCTGTCCCTACTTAAGTTCATTCACCTAGATGAGACCATTATAGGGTGGTAATTGCCACTAGTCCTTGTCACAATTGGTCTGGATCCGTGGTCTTCTGTGTGATGGGGAGAGGGCTGAGGAGGCGTCCCTCGGCCTGGCCTGCGACGCTTCCTCTTTTCCTATGGCTTGGATCACTTCTCTCAGAAGAGCAAAACCTGACCCCTCTCTCACTATGAGCCCAAGCTCCCTCCTAACTTCCAGCCCCTTGAGGACCACCAAGCCCTATGGCTCTTATCGTCCTACCATTTCTGGAAGCCTAAAGATGATTTGAAACTTTAAGGTAAGAGTGAATTGTGGGTTGTTCTTTGCTTTTTGGTGGTGGTGTTGTTGTTCTTTTTAAAGATAAAATTAAATACAGTGGTGGAGAGAGAGATGTTAATCTGGGGCTGCTGGGGCTGCATCCCAGACAGCAGTGCCTTAAGGATGCTCTGCTCTGAAAAAGCTTCCTGGTTCCTCAGGAAAGCCTTGCTTGAAGTCAGCTACAATGGGGTCTAGAGACCCATTGGTCTGGTCTTGTCTGTTTCCTCTCTGGTAGTGGAGTGAGATAGAATTCTTCTCCAAGCCAGGGGGCAAACCTAGGTTCTTAGGTCCTGTCAGGGACTGCAGCCTGATGACTGGTCCTTAGCAAGTGTGTTGTGTGTGAGTAATGGTCCTTATGCTCACTGTGGGCTGGTTTTATTGCTTTCAAGAAACTGAATATAACACATTCAGTTTAGGTCCTGAGGATTTTTAAGATGCATCCTGAATAGGGAAGATGTTCCCTCTAAAAAATATAGATAAGACCCTGGTCAGCTGAGAGTGTGACAGCAGGGAAGGGGGAAGAAAACAGAAAGGGGCTGAGAGAGAAACTGACTGCCATCCGGTCAATCTGGTGACATTCCCTGGGGGGTCAACTCTATGGAACTTGCTTACCTTGCCCATCAGAAGCATCCAGTTTGAGAATTTAGCGCTTGTCTCTTCCCCTTGAGCATTTGGTTCCATGCTACTGAGCTTTAGTGAGTGACTCTATTGGTCTGATCTGTGGGCCCAGTGTGGGAATTCAGCCCAGGCAATATCCTTCCTAAGTTTTTCTTATTTAATATCATGAAAAACAATCAAACTCAAAAGATCTGAAATGGCAGATGCCTCCTCAGGTAGTGCCTTGGCTACTTAGGGCTGTCATCTTTTGACCTTTTATGATGTTAAATGGCTCAGGTAGGTAATTTGGGAGACACATTAGAAGTGTATACTTGGGGCTGGGAGTGTAGCTCAGTGGTAGAGCACCTGCCTAGCCCACAGAAGGCTACAAGAAATTCTGTCAGAGTGCCTCAGTTTCTTCCTTTGTAAAGTAGGTGTGTTGGGACCCCCAGCCCCATGGCTGAGACAGTGACCCTGCACAGATAAAACACTGGTATTATCCTTTGCCCATAGGAAACAGCAAGTAAGAGGTAGCGATTTTAAGTTTTCTTACTTTTTTAAGTTTTCTTACATTTTAAGTCTAAAAAACACCCCATCTTCTTCCTCCTCACTTCTAACCCTCAGGAAAACAATGCTTAGATTTCTGTGTGGTTATATTTTTGAAGGTCCAGACCTGTTTGCCAGTAGCCATCCTCCACTTCCTGTGGCTTAGGGACTAGCTGCGTCACAGAGCTAGACTCCCCCGGTGTTGAGGCTGAGCAGGAGCTATGGCTGGGTCCATCAGAGACAAATTAATACCTCACATCTTTGGCTTCTCTTAAGATGTCTTAAGCACAATGAGAAAAGAGGAAGGAGGGTTTTCACTGAGGTCGGATGATAGCTGTGTACTTAGTGGAAGTGAGCCATGTGTGACTTCCTCCTCCCTCACTCTCTGAGCTCTGACCCCAACCCGTGCCCATTCTCAGTCCTCTGTGAGTTCACTTAGGTCAAAGCATTGTGTCTATTTGCTCATAGCCACATGTACTGAAGAGTTCTAGTGGGGAAGCTGCTGGTGGAGAGATGGGGCACAGAGGGGAAGAGTTGAGTCTAGCTAATGAATTCCCCTTTGCCTACCATGTAGACTTAGAAAAAAAAATTTTTTTTTTCAAGATGGGATTTCTCTGTATAACAATCCTGGCTGTCCTGGAACTCACTTTGTAGACCAGGCTGGCATCGAACTCATAGAGATCTGCCTATCTGCCTCCCAAGTGCTGGGATTATAGGCGTGCGCCATCACTGCCCAGATTAAAAAAAAAAAAAAAGTTTTTTTGTTTGTTTTGTTTTTTTCAAGAGAGATAAGGTCTTATGTAGTTCAGGTTGGCCTCAGACTTGCTGTGCAGGTGAGGGTGACCTTGAACTTCTGATCTTTCTGCCTCTACCTCAGAAGTACTTGAGTTACAGGCATAAGCCATCATGCCTGGTCTTTATGGTACGGGGTCACACCCACGGCTTTGTGCGTATTAGGCAAGCACTGTGTCAGTTGAACCACATCCTTAGACTTAGTAATTGTTAGCATGTCCCTAGGTCCGTATATTTTCTTGTTGATGCTTTCTTTTTAACAAGATTTTAGGAAAGGCAATATGCTAAATAGGTGTCTGGAGAAGAGTCTTGGATGGGTTTGCAATCTTTGTGGTTTGGAGTCTAAGAAGTCTCCTGACCTCTGACCTGTAGCAGTGTTGGGACAGAAGGCAGCAGATATTGCAGTGGTGTGGCTTTTCAATGGAGGTGTCATTGTGAGGAAGGTCATCTCATCTCGGGGTTCACTCTGAGCTCTGGAAGATAATTTTTTTAAATAAAAATTTTATTTTATTTTACATGCATAGGTATCTACATGCCTCGTACCCGTAGAGGCCAGAAAAGGGTGTCGGGTCCCATGGCGCTACAGTTACAGATGGTTAAGAGCTGCCATATGGATGCTGGGAATTGAACCCAGGTCCTCTGCAAGAGCATGAGTGCTCTTAATTGCTGAGTGGTCTCTCTAGCCCCTGGAAAGAAATTCTGAGCCCAGGGAGACAAAGTGTTCATGGTCTACTCACAGGACACACTTACCAGTCACTCTCTAGAAACACAGGAAACACAAAAGTCACAGCACAAAATTCATCACATAAGTTTTAGTTTCAGTGGACAATTTTTTTTTTTTTTACCCCAAGCTTAGAGACAGCTGGCTTTTATTTCCCCTTTTATACCACTAACTCCACATTTGCTGTCTTTTTGTGAATGGGATGGAGACTCAAATTATCAACCGTTGTTTTGTAGAACTGGGAGTCTAAGGAGCCCCATGGACTGCCTTACTAAAACAAGGAATTACAAAATCAGAGTTTTGTTCACTCAGTGCATTTGAGAGGCGATATCCTTAACCACAGTTGCATTCAGTGCCACTTAGCAAATATCCTGTGGTTTATTTACTACTGGTAATCGCAGCACATACAATTCTTACTATGTTTGGGATAATCCTGAACTCTCCACATACCAAGACATTTAACCCTTCATCTACCCTATAAGGTGGAAGCATTGTCCCAGATTTACAGGTGAGGATTGTGACATGGAAGAGAATGGCTAACTTAGCCAAAGTCACAAAGACAGTGAGATGCAGAGCTCAGGCTTGAACCCAGGTGGTGGCAGCAGAAGCTGTGAATGCCACCCCAGCTTTCATTAGTGCACTATGCTGCTTGTTAACGTGCTTCGGTGATGTGTTTCCATCAGTCCACGGTTACTGCTGTTGAGAGTTCTGTCTTCTGGGTGATAAAGTCACAAAGGGGAAGAGCCCAGGCCAGGGGCAGACAGCAAGTGTCTGTTCACATTTGACACAAATGTTCCAAGTAAGTCCCCAACTGTAGGGGAAAGATGCTCATGCAAGCATTGGCAATAAGAGAAAAATCTCATGAGCAATTTCAACGTCCAGAAAAGGAGGGATGGCTAGTCGTACTATGTGGCCTGTCACTGTTCTGAAATCTACATTGAGATGAACAAAGAATGCATAGAGTGCTGTGAGGAAGAAAAGGCTGAACTGGGCCTGGAAAGGTCGCTCAGAGGTTAAGAGCACACTCTGCTCTTGCAAAGGACCTGGGTTCAATTCTCAACACCCACATGGTTGCTCACAACCACGTGTAACTCGAGTGCTGGGCGAATCTGATCCCTTCTTCTGACTCCTCACGAAGCAAGCACACACATGGTGTGCACAGATGGTGTACACACGCACATGCATGCAAAACACCATACACATGAAATAATAAAAGGAATCTGAAAAGAAAAAGCCAAATACCGCATGAGGACGATGGCATGACATGCATGAGACCACACTTGAGAAGGTTTGGAAAGGTGTACAGGTGGGAAAGTTCTTGCAATTAGAGGAAAAGGTCTTGCGTTATCTCACTCTTGATATCACAGCTTTATTTGTAGTAACAATTTCAAAGGTAGAGACTTGAGGAGATTGGTTGCACTGAGTTATGGAAAGAACAAGGCTTTGTTTAAAGGAAAAAGATAGGTGGAAGGAAGGAAGGGAGATAGGGAGGGAGAGAGAAGGAGGGAGGGTGGGAGGGAAGGAGGGAGGGAGGAAGGGGCCGTGGACCCAAAACTATGCGGCTTAAAGCCCACCTTAGTAAGCCTTTTGATGACCTTTAAGTTTGCAGCTTAAAGCCAGCTCTGTGAGCCTCCTGTAACCTGTAATTAGATGGTTTGGCCACAGGGAACTGCTAATTGCTTCTGTTCCCAGAAAGGGCCTGGGGCTTTCCTGTTCGATGTTCTGGGGAAGATCACAAGATATTCTGGCTGATAAGAATGCTCCGGCTCCTTCCTGTTATCCCCTTGTTGCTGGGCTATATAAACCCAGTCTGGACCCCAATAAATCGAGGCCTTGACAATGCACAGACGGACTCTGGTCCCCTCTTTTGCGACGCTTGGCCTCCTTCCTTCTCCCGCCCATGACTCTTTCAGGCATCCCCCCTCCGGAACCCTGAATGACTGACCCTCAGGACAGGACAGGAGGGAGGGAAGGAGGGAGGGAGAGAGGGAGGGAGGGAGGGAGGGAGGGAGGGACGAAGGAACGAAGGAATGAAGGAAAGAGGAAAGTCTTTTTTCCTTTAAAGTGCTAGAACACATGCTTGCCAGGCAACTGTGACAGCCATGCTGAAAAGCAATTAAGCAGACAATGATGTATTCTGTTGCTGTTATTTTTCTTCCTTTACAGCAGGCTATTCCTCTTGTGAATCCAACATTCTTATTATATTAACTAACCCAAACATTCCCTGCCACACAACTTACTGTTGACCTTATTTCACATCTGTCTCCTTTAGTCCCCAAATTATTTCCTGTAGACTAAACCTAGAGAGGCCAGTCATTCTCATC